CCCTGGCGACCGCCCCGCGCACCGCTCCTCAAGCGCCGCGTGTTTAAAAGCACAGATTTATTTAAATAGTATAGTTTATTTAAGTGTTACAGGTCGTTTTAAGCGGTGTAGAGAGGCACGGAAGGGTAGTCTTGTGAGCAGCACAGACAGTCAAAGAAACATGCAGCAGGCAAGTACGAAACAAGAAAGATTTTGCAATTGTCTCTGCTTTCACAAATAAACTATTAAATAAATTATTTTAAATAGAAAGGATAGCAAAAAGCCTGCCCTAGAACCTGTCTACCACTGAGAAGGACACACACATACGGAATAAGCCTTCTTCAAAGTATCTACTCTGCGTGGACGGGCTACAGGCCACTATGGTAGAGTGTTTTCCCCCATAAGCGAGTGCTGCTGAAACAGGCACTTGGAACAAAATAAGCAGCGAAAGCCCTTTTCCTGGCTTCATTAAACCAAATTTATAATATTTTACAATATTAAATAATGCATTTATTACTCTTAGTATTTAAAAGTATCTTACAACAGATACAGTCCTTTATTACAATCCTTAAACGCTAAGACAGAACATCCAGGCTGCTCCTTGATACTGGCTTTGAATCACAAAGGAGCATCTTTCAATTTCAGTCTTAACAGTTGTAGCTTTTGTTCCTGATAGGAGGAAAAAGAAGGGCAGAAGGGTCAAGCCCGTCCTGGAGAAGTGCTCTAACCAGAAGAGCTGTGGTTTAGCCTTTGCTGGTCATTTATGGCAACAGACTCTTGAGGTAGAATTTACCGGAGGCTGTTCTGAGCTGATGCCAGAGACCGCAGCACTTTCTTCTCTATGTGAAGGCAAGTGGCGCATCCTTTACTTCTCCACCAGACTATCTGAGCCCCCTCTCCAAGGAAAGGGCTTAACATGTTCAAAGTTGGATATAGTACTCTTGTTCCTTTTCATTTCTTCATAGATTCTAGTGAAGAGCACTGAAGAGCAGATGTGACAGAAGGGAAGGGAAACCTGGCCAATTCCAGATCCCTGCTTTCTTCTCTGACTTGATTCAAGGACAAACTTGATCCAGTATCACAGTCTACAGGTTGCCTGGGATACTTTGGAATTGGTTCTTCTGTTTAGAGCATTGCAAATAAATGTACCTGTAGCCATCAGCTTCTGCAGATCCACACCCTTAACAGGACAAAGAATATAACATGCATTGGTACCCGTTCTGCCCCATAAAGCTGCCCAGTAACAACTCATCACTGGGTCAGACCACTAGCAGAGGGTGAGGGAGTCTGAAGGGTATTTTAAACAAGGCCCTCAGAGCCAGCCGCTCGTTAGTGCAATCCTGACAGTGACTAATTGCACAGCACCGCTCTGAAAAAGGGGCGAGAAGAAACGCTCCCAACAGTGCAGGCAGCAAGACTGCCACAGCAAAACAAGGCCTGTAGCCAGACGAACAGAACTGTAGCACGAGAGGCTCTGCCGCTCCTTGGGCAAAGGCTACTTGCACTCACCGTGTGGATCCCCAGGCCGTTCAGCATGTACACCAAGTCCTCCGTAGCAACGTTTCCTGACGCTCCTTGGGCATAGGGGCAGCCTCCAAGGCCAGCAACGGAAGCATCGACCACACTCACACCCATCTGTGAACAACATCACCACCTGTAAAATCCTCTTAATTAAAGGACACATTATAGTCCTGTTCCTAAAACCTATAGGTTTTACAGTCCTGTTCCTAAAAAGCTAGCAAGCACAGAAGAAACTCAAGGAAGGATGCTATCCTGCAAGAAACTATCTTACCTGAAGTGCTACCAAGATGTTGGCAAGAGCTTGCCCATAGGTATCGTGGCAGTGAACAGCAAGAGCCCCAACCGGCACCTCTTTCATGACTGCTGTCAGCATCTCTTTCATGCTTCCTGGGGTCCCAATGCCAATGGTGTCACCAAGAGAAATCTCGTAACACCCCATCGAGTACATCTTCTTGGAGACCTGTGTAAAAGTCAAAATGATTACTGAGAAGCCAGTTTGTCATTACCTTTGTCAGGGCTGGAGACCTGCTGTACAGAGTAACCAAAGCACGCATAACAGCCATGGATAATCATCAGGAGATTCTTCTCTAGGTACAAAGATCTCCAGGTCCACCCACCTCCCTGAATTCTCCCAGACACTTCAGCTAGATCCAGCCTTCCCTCTCTGAGGTGGCAACTAGCTATAACCTCCTCCTGTCCTCGGCAAGGTGGTTTGTCACCTCCTCCAGCCATTAGATTCTGATTCATGGCCATCAGGGAACCAAAAAAAAAAAAAAAAAACTTTCAGAAATTCTGTTTCTATTTATGATGAACTCACCTCTGCAACTTTAGCTGCAGAAATCTTCCCTTCATAGGGACAGCCAAGGACACAGGAAACATAGCTACAATTAAAAAACAAAAAAAAAAAAATAAAAACCTTAATTAAGGAACTGAAGTGAGATTATAAAGGCTAAATTAGTCATAGCCTGTGACTGCTGACCTGTGCAGCATCTTATATGCTCTACACAATGGAAGATTTCACTTCATATTCTAAAAGTCCATGTGTAATCCAGTAGAAAACAATTACCCAATTAATTATTCCATAATTATGTATTCTATGCAAATGAAAAGCCTCTCAAAACCAGGATCAAACAGACTGTTAGTTTTTTCGATTTTCAGGCTTCAAGGCAGAATGTCTGCCAAGAAGCTAATATTTCTTTGGATCCTTTGGTAAAGCTGAAGATAGAATTATTACACGGAGGGCAAATCTATCTGCAAGACTGTAAACTGCCATGAGCTGTACAGATTTAGCATCAAGCAAACAATTGGAGTTTTATTAGTGTGGTGCTGCTACCAAATTAATGCCTCTCCGTGCATTGAGCTCACATCTGATTGCAGCAATCGACAGAAAACTCCCCCAAAAAGCAGAGCTTTAAAAGAAATTCTGCTCTCCAGCGCTGTACAGAGCAGGACTCCAAAGAGTCACATCTTCCCATATGGCCTGCTCATTGCTAAGCTCACAGCGGGCACTCTTCTTACCCCCGGACTGGAATGCTGGCTGCTCTTGCTGCAGTCATAACTTCATCAAATCTCTCCAAACTCTCCTCTATGGAACAGTTAATATTCTTCTTAGTGAAGAGCTCAGACGCTGCTCCAAAGATTGACACTTCTTTGGCCCCTGCTGCCACCTGTCAATAGGAAGTGTAAGTTAAATAAGTGAACTGATTTCTCCACTAACGGAAATAAAAAGTGCAACCACGAGTACAGTTGTCTTATTTTATACAAAGATTTCCCCCCAATTGCCCAGTTCTTTCCTCAGTTCATTCTACAGCAAAAACATGAGACATCCAAGTTTGTCCTCAAAAGAAGTGTAAAGTTACACATGCAGCAGTAAAGCTACATCTGCTGGATTAAGTCAGGAGAACTGTGGGATGTGGAGATGAGACTGGCACGTTGTTGTCAATCAGCAGAAGTGATTTTTTTTTTTTTAAGAAAATATAACAAGGTATTTTCTATTATAAACACTAGGTTTCTAGTTCCCCAGTAGAATACAGGTATTTTCTATTATAAACAATAGGTTTCTAGTTCCCCAGTAGAATAATCCCTTTTAAAGGAGCCACAAGATGAAACTGCCACTTATTAGAATAAAAGAATATACTACATTTTCACCCTTAACCAAAGTCGAAATGTTCCTTCCTAGGCAACCTGTGCATGAGACACTACAGACATTAAGATCCTATGATCTCTTACCGCTGCTTGAAATCCTTTCAGGTTAGGAGTCAGGACAGGATAACTAACACCAGGCAACTTATTAATTCCTTGCATAACTTCATTATGGTCAGCCATCTGCACGTTAAACAAGGACAGATTTTTAAGGGTGAAATCAAGATAGTTATCTACTTCCGCAAATTAAAAAATAAGTTTTCAGATTTATTTTTTTAATATTCAGCAACAAGAGAAATGGGTCTTCTAAGAGCAAACAGCATTGCAAACTGCAAAAGATCATAGTTCAGTTAACCCCCCCGCCCCAGCCCATGCAAACACATGCACGCTCAGTTGTTTGTATTTGAGCTCCTGTTCCTACTCAGGGTCCAAAGGGAAGGTCTAGGCTATCGCAAGCTCCTTTATTAGGCTTTGCTGCTTCTTGTCCACTTACAGATATGGTAACAAGGATTTTGGAGTGAGCAGAATCTTTTTATCATACTGCTATGTATTAGTGTGCGTTTCAGCCAGCAAACAGCGGCAAATCCCACCCAAGCACTGACCTGCGGAACCCATTTGGGGGAGACAAAGCTGGTGGCCTCTATAACCTGGAGTCCTGTTTCTGACAGCATATTGATCAAGTTGATTTTCACCGGTGTCGGCACAATATTCTAGAGAGGAGAGGAAGTAAAATAAGCTGCAGTCGCAGTTATTTCACAGCGAGCTTCTCTGCCACAGCAAAAGCCGGGGCATCACTCAAGGAACCCCTCCGCCGCGGGGAACACAAAGGAGCCTGTCAGGCGTTGGGTGGGACCAGGCGGACTGGGAGGTGGGGAGGGAGGCC